AAAAAACCAGACTGATGATGGTAGAACGCTTCATCTACAGCAGCTATAACTTTTATTTCACTTGATTAACGTCTTCTTACACTCGTTTCTTTTATAAATGGAGGATTGTTTGGGACAGATTTTATTGAATCTCTCTGAGAGAACAAACTTAAAGACGGCCACGGCAGCAAAGCAGTTCCAGCAAACACCAAAACACGGTTTGCCTAAATCTCGAGCAGGTCGTTTCTTCTGCACGTCGTCCCAAACGGACACAACAAACGTGTCTACCCACAGCCAAGAATGAAGACGACCGACCGCAGCTTTACCGTCTGTAAACAAAGACTCGTGAGCGCGCTCGTGGTCGTGGTCACCCTGAAGGAACGTCTGCTCGTGTCTCAGCAGTTTCCACAGCTACGTGGAGTCCAACGACACCTGGAGGGGTCCCCTGCCTCTAGAACCTGCGTCCAGGTTCAGTTCTGGGCCCAGCTCTATTTATAGGGGCGGCTGATGTGCAGCGCTTTGTGTTGCGTAACGGCTCAGCACATGGTCTGAACACAGGCTCAGCAGGAGGCACGCACGCCAGAGGAACTTTAAGCAGCACGCATGTGCGCTACATGTAGTCAGAACATTCTGCCACGGTCAAAGAAAGAAGGTCCATCTTCTTTCAGTTCACCAGGATATGAACCCCAAACCTCTGGTCTTCACCAGGTTCTACAGTGATCCATCTTACATTACACATCTTATTGTTGCTTATTTTCCCAACAGAGCATTTCACTCTCAGACTAAAGGTTTACGTGTGGTTCCTAGAGTTTCCAAAAGTGGGAGGCAGAGCCCTCAGTTATCAGGCTCCAACTTCCAGTTTCTGTCAGTCGAGCGAACACGGACTACTTTTAAAACTACGCTGAAAGTTTTCATCTTTGTTAAATCCTATAGACGGGGTTGGACTGGGTTTCCTGAGCTATCCTATAGTTAAAGTGCCTGTGACATGCATATCGTACAAACAGAAACGGTAGAAAAAACATTGTAGAATGTCAGAATTTAACAAAATGCACGATTTTACCCATTTTGTCACATGCCGTACTTTCATTTGAATTTGGTGCAGCCAAAGTGAAACAGGAAGTGACATCAAAGGGGAACTTCCTGGTCTTTGTTAACTGAAACATTATTTGAACTCTGACCCTTCTACGTCCCACTGATACTCAAAATAACCTAAAGAAACATCAGACTCTTCTCTGCTGTCGGTGTCAAGTTATTTTAGTAATGCTACGTTTACATGAAGGCATTCCCCTTTGACATCACTTCCTGTTACTGACATCACTTCCTGTTACTGCCCATGTGAATATCTCAACAACTGTTCGTCTAAGCAGCATGTTTATTTTTGCAATACATAATTAATGTCATCTTTCCAAAATGTACTCGTATTACAAAACTTTGATGTCACGCGCACTTTGCTGCCCCACAGAAACTGAGATAACCCCCCCCGATCCTCTAAAGGCCCACGTGTTGACATGAACGTGTTCAGAACAGAACGTGTGGGCTCATCGCAGCAGATACCACAATATAAAACACGAAGACGGCTCGTTTTCATAACATCCTGCAGCTCTAACAAAAGAAAAGGATGAAGGTGCTGCAACGGGCCCGTCAGTCCAGAACCCGACTCTGACTGACAGGTGGACCTTCAGAGCGCTGAGCAGAAACCTCTGAAGTGACGCTGCAAAGAAGAACGGGCCAGAACTCCTCCACAACCATCCGAGGCCGGTGCAGAAGTTCCTGCTCGGACGGATCAAAAGTGAATCCATCAGAGCGTTGTGCGTGCACGCCTCTTCAGGCTCCAACTGGGTGTCAGCTCAGATTTAATCCCTTCTGATGTGGACCGCTCCTTCCTTCCACGCAGATCCACTCTTTAAACGGAACCAAATGAACAAACACTCGTTAGATAAACGCCTTAAAAAACCAGCAACGTGTTTTGTTCAGGTTCCCTCTACGCCGCCGTGGTGAAAGCTCCCACCAGACATCTGTCCACATCTGCTTCAGCTGCAGGAAAACTGCGGCGAGCGTCGGAGGGAATAAAAAGATCCGACTTAACCCGATCGGACCTGATGGAACTTGTTTCTGACGCTCAGACCCGGAGAGAAGTTTGCACGATTTCTGAAAGGGGAAGTGAACTCCTGAGCCGGGCGAGACTCGAGCGTCACGACAAGTCATTTTCACCTTAACGAGTTCGTTAATAAAATACAGATGAGGCAGAGACATGAATTCATATTTAAAGCTCAAGGGTGAACTCCTCAAATGTTGTTACTTTTCATTTGCAGCTATAAAAAGTGTTTTAAGGACACATTAGGTCTGAACGGATCCTTCCGTTTCCTGAAGCAGCAGGTGCTACAGCACCACAACGCTTTTATTGTATTTTACACACCGAGTTGTTCGAATGGACCCGAGTGGTGGAAAGCGCTGGTGCACGTTTCACAGCCTGAAAACAACTCGACACACACCTTGGCATTTCCATCCTTATTAGGACCGTGAACGACCCTAGACCAGGG